GTTGTTGTTGTTGCTGTTGCTGTTACTGTTGTTGTTGTTGTTGTTGTTGCTGTTGCTGTTGCTGTTGCTGTTGCTGTTGCTGTTGCTGTTGCTGTTGCTGTTGCTGGTGTTGTTGTTGTTGTTGTTGTAAGTCTTGGTTGTTTAGACGACAAAGCTTGCGTTGTTTTGTTTGTAGGGGAGTCATGTGTAGTCTAGAGGGCTTGGGGTTTAGCTATGTGGGGAACGCTTCACTGGACCTGCGACTCCCTGCGGCAGTGCACAAGAGGGTCTCGTAGATTCTCTGACACAGACACAAAGTCTCCCGACAGGACAAACACAAACACGCATTCAACAGATCTTCAGCCTTCAATTTTCTGCAGCGTAGTCAGGTAAGGGCATTTCTCCGCAGGAGGTCAATCCCTTTGCAGACGACCCGACAAAAACCCATGACTAGTTGCTGCCACGCCCGTAGTCAGGAAAGCGCCCTTCCTTACAGGACCTTTTGCCCCAAGTAATGACATCATGTTAAAGCTGGCGACATGTCAGCAGATTAATGACTCACCCCAGAACATCCATTGGCCATTGGGTTCATGAGCGAAAATCGTAGCAAGCACACCAACGATACGCAATGCGCATGATCATTCAGTAAGAATCATGTACTGGGCCCAGCGCGGGCAGTGCCCGCGACGGCGATCTCAGGTTTTTGACCACCCTTCCTGCTGGATGACCTTGGGCTGTTTCAAACTCTTCGCCCATTTTTCTCTCTCTCAGGTCTTGCTCTCAGGTCCCTGAGGAAGGGTCCGGAGCGTTTGAGACGCCCAGCCCCGCCTCCCCCTTCCTGGTTTTTGAATTTGATCTGGCTGCAGCACCGGCAGGACGCAGGGGACCCCGTGCAGGATGCGTGGTCTAGTCTGGTGGTCTGCACCCCAGTGTTGTTGTGGGCAGTCTCTGCGTGCCCGTGCTCTTCAAGTGCGTGTGGGAGTGCAGCACATAAGAAGGAAGACAAGAGAAGAGTCAGCGTCATGTCCATTCCATTTCATTCCTGTTTGATGTCATGGTTCTGGCAGTGCAGCGATCAGCATAGACGCTACTGCTACTTGATTCTTTGCCATGTAAAGACTTCCCCCCTTATTAACGCCTTCCCACTCCCACTTTGCTCAACCTGAAGACCGAAAGCTTTCTCGACCACGAACCGCTGAGGAGCTCTTCTGCTCTTGATCGGCAGTGAGAACTTTACCTTGATTTTTCTTTGCGCCCGGGCCATTTTCAGAGCAGCCTTGGGCACCGCCTGTCAATCAGATCACACAGTGCAAGAACGGCCTAGGGGAGCTCCCTAGGTGCCGCAGGCCTGTTTCAACATCCCCTTCAATGTTTGCTGGAGCCTTCCCAAAGATGGCCAGCTGTAAGTTGGCCAAGTCCTTCGCTTAGCCGTTGCTTTGCGGAGTGGGGGCACAGGCACGTGGAAGGCATACTCCAAGAGACTTCATATATGAGCCATCCTTTAAGAGCAGGGGCCTTCAACGTGTCCTGATTGATTTTCTGTTTCACCCATCATGTGGACAGAACAGCAGGCCCGCACAAAGTTTCGTGGCCTACATGCTGAGTTTGGTCGCAAAACTACGCACTATTGAACTATTGGACCGAAGCGACAAGCAGCCAGATCTTGCTTGGGCACGCAGAGCGCTCAACGTAACCTTGGGTTTGTTAGCTTTGGTTGGCCGACCCCCATCCCGCAGACTTTGTCTCTGAGTGGGTTCTGGGGCGGCCACCTCGATGAGTTCTTACAGGTAGATGATTAGTACATTATCAATTATGATATTGCAGTATTGTGTAGAAGTAGAATGCAGTACTGTATAGTATATAGTAGAGGGCGTGCTTGTCTCAGCCGTTGTGTCTGTTTGGCTGTAATGGTGCTCACAGATGTTTCAGGCAGCACGGTTCACCGTAGTGAAGTAAAGGCTGCCTGCGGGCTTGAGGGTCACAGGCTAGCCGAAATTCAAAAACCAAGTGGGATTGTATAATAACCCCGGGCCTCAGCGTTTACTCTTGACGTGTCCCTGGTTTGCTGTTTCGAGTTATTTCGTGGGAAAACGATAAGAGTAGGAAAAAACGATAACGTAAAACAATGTAAAACGATAACGAAATCAGACACATTACGTATTTTACTTGGAAAAACGATAAGAGCAAAAACGATAACGTTAGTTCAGGGATATTAAAAAATATATTTGTTATTATGCAACCCCAAGTCTTGTCAGGTGTCCAGCGGCAAGGAGCGGGCTGAGGTAGACGTGGCGCACTTCAGCAAGGTCAGCAACGCTGGTTATCCGCTAGAATTGCGCAAGCCTTGCTGGCTCTGCCACAGCACACGCGAACGAAGCGGCGATGCCATCAAAATAGGCCATTGCTTGCGTGTGAAGCTGCTCGAGGCATTGGAAGTGGAGATTCCGGAGCTTCGCAAGAGCGTGGGCGAGCAGTCTGGAGCCGAGTGCCGCAGCGGGCCGAGGAGATGCTTTGGGTACAGCAAACAGACCAAGCTTGGCCACAACGCCGAGGCAGTCCAGATTGGACACGCCTGATCTTTCAGACATCACCAAGATGACAGCTGAGAATCGCAAGGCTTGGGTGCTGGGCTGCGTGTCGCACAACATCTAGACGTCATACGAAGGAAGTCCTTGCTTTCCTAGACGAGCTGCAAGAGCGTGTGATCCCTAGCCTCCTGACCACACACCATCGTTCCCGCCACAGGAGGACGCCCAGGCATGAAGTTGTTGTTCCCAGGTGGTACAGTATTTTTGTTTTATGTTTTCATGTCGCATGGCTGGCCCAGCCATTTGACAATCGTTTGCAAACACATCATTCCAGCAATTGCTCCTAGCTGAAGACCTTGGCGTCTCGTAGCTGCCTTGCTTTGTTTTCCCATCCGAGATGTGAACCAATCCGTGGAAGAAGCTGCCAAGTTCAATCGTTACCAAGACGTGCTCAAGCTCGAGCGCTCTATATGATAAAACCAATGGGATGAGACCCCCCAAAAGAAACCCGCCGATGGAGACGCTCATGCTGGGAGGCCAGCGCATCAGTAAGGAAAAGAAATGCGCGGACAGCTTGCAGAGACTGGCCTCTGCTTGATTGTCCCAGGGCTCGTGGAGGTATTGGGTTTAGGGCTGTTTGCAGGGCCTACCCCTTGCCCTGGTCGTAATTGTGATAGGCCGCACCAAACTCGACATCCTCCCGCCGATTTATGCCACGACCACAACACAGCAGTGAGAAAACAGCCAAAGTCTTCCACCACAACACAAACAAAGAGAACACGGATAGCTTTGATGGCAGAAGGTACCGCGCGATCAACCCGCTGCGTAACAAAGGGCAGCTCTTTTCGGAAGCATCCTGAAAGAGATAATGTTCATCGCCCATACCACGTCATCAAGTAACCAGTTTTGGTGAAGCACGATCGGCTCAGATATGCACGAAGCCACATTATTTCGTTCGGGTCGACATGAAACATGAGAACTATAGTCAGAACCATCACCAGACGAAAAATCTGTCGAAAAAAACACGTTATGAACAATCACCACAGGAAAAATCTGTCGAAAAAAACACCTTATGAACAATTGTAAGTCGAATAAGCTTCCTCGCTCGGGATAGGCTTCAAGCATAGACAAAACCATATGGAAAAGCATAAGGATGCAAGAACCAGCACCAGAGGAAAAATCTGTCGAAAAAATCACCTTATGAACCATCGCCAGAGGAAAAATCTGTCGAAAAAAACACGTTATGAACAATTGTAGGCTGATTAGGCTTCCTCGCTCGGGATAGGCTTCAAGCGTAGACAAAATCATATGGAAAAGCATACGGATGCAAGAAAAATTCCATGAAACGGAACTGTGCAGCAGATAGTTGTTTGTCTCCTTGGGCCTTACTGTCTGAGCGACTCCCCATGAAGCTGTCTCGAGTGCAAAAGTACGAGTGCCTCGACTGCTGACAGTCGAAGCAGAAAATCACAAGCAGGATCGCCCGCTTGATCACCCTAACCCGCTAAACTACAGCCTTCACTGCACTGAAAGCGGAGCCACCCGCGACAGCGGAGCCACCCGCGAAAGCGGAACCACCCGCGACAGCGGAGCCACCCGCAAACAGCAGAACCGTGACGCAAACTAGGAGGCCTTCTCAAGGAGAAGCTTCTTCCTTGGGCTCGGCTGCTCCTGCTCCTTCTCTGCTTCCTCCTTTCTGGCTGCCTCTTCCTTCTCCTGCTTGCTCTTCGCTTCCTCCTGTCTGGCTGCCTCTTCCTCCTCCTGTTTCCTCTTCGCTTCCTCGTGCTTTCTGGCTGCCTCTTCCTTTCGGGCTTCCTCTGCCGCTTCCTGCTCCTTCTTCGTTTCCTCTTCCTTCTCCTTTCTGGATGCCCTCCTTGCTTCCTCCTTCCTTTCGTCTTCCTCTTCCTTCAACTTTGTTGCATCGTCCTCCTGAGGATTCGTCTTTCGCCCCGATGCCTTTTTCATCAACTGCAAGGCCTGCCTCACAGCTGCATTCTCCGGGCACAACTTGTGGACAAGATCCAAATCTGACGTCATGCACTTGCTGAGAACGCCAACTTTGAAGCCGGAAACATCTTGAGACATCACCCTGTGAGACACAGCACATCCGGGTGGCAAGTAGATGATGTCGTTCGGCCCGACTGTGGCGCAATACGCACCTCCATCATCAGCGATCCGAGTCAGATCCTCAGCCGTGCAGCTGAAGAGGTACTCTTGCACCTGCTGCAGAGTGACCTGCTCCTTGGCATCCTTCGCGAGATGCTTCATGACAGGGCCAAGCAGGATGACCGTTACGAAGCGAGTGCCCTGATATGTCGCCCGTAAGCAAGGCAACATATGGAGTTCAAACTTGCCAATGGAGATGTGTGAGCCGGCCACACCGAAAGTCGACGTGAACATCGCCTTGAACAGGTCCGGGTTCTGGGTCCGCTCTTGGGAGTTCAAGCTCAAGATGACCTGTGAGGCCGAGGCCTCTGGCGCCAACTTGGTCCCGAGGCTCTTCACAAAAGATTCCGCAAGCTGCTCCTGAACAGGAGCCTGAGCACGGCCTTCGGTCACACGGATGCTGCTATCCTTGAACACGGCTAGAAAGCCTTTGATACCCTTCTGGATGTCTTCCGGCTCCAGGCATTCCTCAGCCTTGCTCAAGACGAAAGGCTTCGACAAATCCAAGTCGTTCTTCCAGCTTGCCGCGGAAGCCATCCTGAATGTGTCAGCAGCCCAGGGTGCTGACTCTGTGTCAACAAGGGGATGCATCACCGCATTCTTTGTCTTCTTGGCGCTTTTGCCTGACGCGAAAGGCCATAACTCAAGGCTATGAACCATCACCAGAGGGAAACAATCTGTCGAAAAAAACACGTTATGAACAATTGTAAGTCGAATAAGCTTCCTCGCTCGGGATAGGCTTCAAGTGTAGACAAAATCATATGGAAAAGCATAAGGATGCACCAGAGGAAACATCTGTCGAAAAATCACCTTATGAACCATCGCCAGAGGAAAAATCTGTCGAAAAAAACACGTTATGAACAATTGTAAGCTGACTAGGCTTCCTCGCTCGGGATAGGCTTCAAGCATACACAAAACCACATGGAAAAGCGCAAGGATGTGAGCATGAAGAACAGTGAGCCTGCAGCAGCGACGCTTCCCGCCCGCTTCTTGTCTTTCGTTGCCTCTTTAACCTCCTTCTCCTTCTGTTTCTCCTTCATGGCCTGAAGCTTCTTTCGTGCAGCAACCATCTCGTTCAAGGCGGTCTTGCATGATGCCATGAGTACCTGAAGTTGCTTCTTCTCGAACTGCAACGATTCGAATTTCGATTTGATGTCATCTTGCGATGTACACAAGCGGAACTCCGATGCTCTCGAGCTCAAGGAAGCCACTGTAGTCAGCTTTTCAAACCCTGAGCACGGGCCAGCCCGCGTCAAGGCTGAAACGTCTCTCGAGGTCGTCATCGCATCTCCATCCACAACCTCGTTGGCCTCGTTGATCTTTGCAGAAAGGGTTGCATCGTCTTTTTGAAGAACAGCAGCCAACCACTCCTGCCTCTTCTGCACCAGGAGCATCTCGGCGGAGAATTCCTTTGCCTCGGCCGGATTCCTGCGAAAATCCGCCAGCCCATTGATCATGTCTGAGCTGAGCTTGCCGATGTCCTGCTCGACCAATTCCATGCTTTGCGTCCAAGATCTTTCCGCTTTGCGTGTCTGCGACTCTGCATCGAACCACGAACCCTTGCTAGGGCTGTCAGGCTTAGGCTTCTTTCCATCCTTGGCCTTCTCCTTCTCCTTGGAAGGTGACGAAGTCTTCCCTTTGCCAGGGTCCTCTTCCTCCTCCTCATCTTGGTCATCCTCTTCTTCTTCGTCATCTTCAACCTTGGACCTGCTGCCAGGCTCTGTCAAGCCACACAAAGACCAAAGCAGCATACGGGCATGAGGTGCAACGTTCTGCGTGAAAATCTCAAGAAGCTATGAGTGCTTCCTCATTTGTGTCGATCAGCCATTTCGCGGCACGCGATACTGTTGTCTTTGGTTTATCGCTCAAAACAGCGGTGTAACACGGCACAAGATTTGTGTTCTGACGTTTGCGCTTTCAGAAGCTGTGAGAGTTTGGCCCTGAGACGTTTTGACTTTTTGAGTCGGTCTCGTCCAATATGTTTTCACCTATGTTTCGCATTGAGATTTTTTTGTTTGCAGCTTTGTAAATCACCCGACGTGTAAGAAACAGGCTTTCAGAAACCGTGAGAGTTTGGCACTGAGACGTTTTGACTTTTTGAGTCGGTCTCGTCCAATATGTTTTCACCTATGTTTCGCATTGAGAATTTTTGTTTGCAGCTTTGTAAATCACCGGACGTGTAAGAAACAAGCTTTCACAAACTGTGAGAGTTTGGCCCTGAGACGTTTTGACTTTTTGAGTCGGTCTCGTCCAATATGTTTTCACCTATGTTTCGCATTGAGAAATATTTTTTGTAGCTTTGTAAATCACCGGACGTGTAAAAACAAGTGTCTTTTCGCTCTGCTGTCGGCAAGCCCGGCAAGCCCTTCACTACCACCAAAGGTGTGTCAGCCTTACTATGGGGACTAACACGACACTGGCCTCTTTCGCTTCTTCGACACATCATCCAGAAGACCCTGGACGTCTGGAGCCAGCAATCCTTGACCTCCGAAGCCGCTCTCCGGACAACCGCTCCTTCCAGCCAGGCCCACCGCCGCCTTTTCAGTCAAGTCTTTGAAATCTGTCATTTCATGCTGATCCATGCCTTCCTGCTCGCCTGCGACAAACTTCATTCGAGCTTCAAGCGTGGACTGCGAAGGATTCTTTCCTAGCTTCTCTTCCTTGGATAATTCTTTGCTGCGGGCAATGTCGTCATAGAACTCGACGGTGTCTCGGACCTTGACCCACAAACGAAGCCGATTGCGCGGGCCATGATTGTCCCGTGGATGGGATGGCTTATTCAACCACTCCTGCCATCGCTCTTCTGCTTCTGTCTGCGACAGAAAGCCGTGTTTGGCTTTCTTCGCTTCTTCGTACCATTCTCCCTGCCACATCATCTCACCCTGAGCTGCTGATCGTAGTCCTGTGCTGCTCTTGTACGACAGCTTGAACTGCGAAATGGAAAATCGCACTTTGTCACCCGATTTCAGGGTTTGCTTGCGTTCCCTGCTGTATGCTTTCATTAATGCTGCATGTTGTTTGGGGTCCTGGCGTTCCATCTCGGTCAAATCCTCTCTGCACCCCTGCCTCTCAGCCAGTCGGGCCAAAGCCCGACCATCGTTATTGCACGACTTACACTTGGCTTGTTGGTCGTTGAACTCCTGAATCTCTAGCCATTTTGCACAGCCCTTGCATTTTTTCCAAGCATCCTGGCTTGGAAACTTGGCTTTCTTGCTCTTTCCTTTGGCTTTGGCACGGGCCTTGGCTTTTGCCTGTCCCCCTTTTTCTTTGCCACGCTTCTTTTTCGTTGAATTGCTGCTGGAAGCCTCAGAAGACTTCTGACCGTCCTCATCCTCACCAAGCCCTTCTGCGAACGTAGCCCAATCCTCGTTAACGTCACCCTCGAGTGAAAGACCGAGGCATGGCTGATCAGCCATTGCTCCCAATAAAAATTAACGGAAAATCAATGCCAAGCTCAGCCAACAGAGACGCTGAATATAACAGCTCAACATATGCTCTGCATAGACATGACCGTGTCTACAGCATAAGCACAACTTGCACTTGCATGTCACGACATAATGTGTTTCACCTCGGTTTGCGGACACACTAGCCCAGCCTTCAGCTCAGGCCTCAAAGGTTATGTGCATGTGAATCTGATAGAGGTAGCAACAATACTAGCAGTACCATCATCAGCACAGGATGGCTTGGACCTGGAGAGACAAGCCGGCAAGTCGCTAGGCCACTTGCCATCATGAATCAAGCACATAAGCAAAACGTTCGTTCACATGGTCACATGGATGCGGCAACAAGCAAGCAACACACAACTCTGCATGGCGCGACTGCACGACTGGACATCCTCTTTTGCGATTGTTGGGCCTGCTAGTGTCCACGGAAGAATCTGCACGCCCTACGCTCCCACAAACACAAACGCATATTGCTGGGCCGATGAGCACTTGCAGCTGCCACGCGCTCAAGGTAGCACGGACTGGCTTTGATCACTGAGGACTCAAGCTCAGAAGCGAGGAGTGTATGACGTGCACCCCAAACACATTAGCAGCACTGCACCTAGTACACGCAGATGCATACCGTTTCCGGCCAGACGCTGTATCTCCAAATCCGACCGTGTTCTCAGGTAGGTGACAAAGCCACACTTCAGATCATCAGCTAAACGAGATCGAGCATCGACCACTTGCATTGCAGAGCTAGCCTGGGAGCTGTAACCTCCCCAAACATTGTAGCCCTGCACTTCCAGCAGCTCCAATGAAAGGGCCCAACGCCTCTCTGCAAAAAGCCACAGCTTGGATGACCTGAGAAGAGTGGGCACAAGGTCCATCCTTGCAGGTTGGAACGCAGGTTTTTGGTTCAGGTTGCACATGTATCGTTTCAGGTCTGCTGGTGACCCTCCAGCGATGCGGCCTGAGAGTGCCTGCTCATGTTCATCAATGGCAGAACGCACGGCCGGGCTGGCAACCTGGTAGAAGCTCCACGCCTGCCCACTTCGACTTCTAGCTGGAAGGTGTCTTCGCCTGGCCTGCTCCTGCACGTACTCCCGGATTTCGTCTTGCGGAGCACGAAATTTTTGGGAACCCATCATAAGCATTGTCCTGGCAAACAGTCGATCGAAAGCTGCCTGCACACCGTAGGCACACACGTCCGCACGCCAAGCTAGCCGATTCTTCTTGAACATTAGCATATACTTTCTCTGTCGCTCAACCGGATCTCCGAACAAGGCCGGTGTTGTCAGAAGCACGTGCAGGTCGTAATCAGCCTGGAACAGTTCCGACAACATGTCTGAATCAAACGGCACGACACACTCCACGACGATAAGATCCTCTTTGCAAAGCATCCTTTCCCGGGCCCACTGCATGAAGACAGTAGTGCTGGGGCCAAGCCAGTTTTTGCGTAGTCCGAACTTGCTCCAATCGGTGCAAGTCACACCTGCGATGTGAACACGGAGGCCTGCAAAGGCAGGCGGGGCAGGACACACGATTGGACACTGTCTGTTATGGATGCAGCAATGAGCCTTTAGCCCGGCTGCCGGTGCCTTCCGAATGTCCAACATGAATGCTGCGAGCTTCCTCACTGTGCTTTGGCCTACATCTTGCACAGAGGCACGGCACATCTTAGCACCAGGATTCGAAGCTCGAGACTCAACTGTTGCGACAGCCTTATCGTGCAGCTTCTGCATGCGTTGTTTCAAGTTTCCTGGGCACCTGTCCATCATGTCCCCGTGCACACACTTTGGCGAGAAAACTCCTGTGTGCTGAGAAAGCACATCTCTGCATTGTTGAAGAAGGTCTCCTGCACGCAAGCACTCAAACCTGGCACCGGCCGGCAGTGCTCCGTCTGCCTCCACGATGCCGCTGGAGGCCAGCAACTGGTTCAGAGCTTCTTCAGCTGCTCCCATACCGCTATAGTCAGTTGTGAGCAGCAACCCTTTACGCAACTGATCACGCGCAAGGGCGGCAAAATCTGTATGGAAAAACTTCAAGCTCTGCTCCCCAAAAATCTGCCAATCGTCCACCGGCCACAGAACTGAGCCGACTGCATCTGTGCTGCCCGGAAGTCTATCCTGCAGCTGTCCGTGCTTCCGATCGCTGGCCTGCTTGCCTGATGCAGACTCAAAGTCCGCTTGCAACATTATGCCCGGCACTTCACAGCAGCCTATCCATCTTGAAACGAAATGTGCACTTCACAACAGCCTGTGGTTTGCAACAAGACTAACAAGACATGACAAACTTAAACACGACATAGGGCCCTGCGCAGCTGCTCGACTGTACTCCTGTACTATTCGGTGCATTTGGGCATGCTGTTGCTTGCTGCAGCCAAACAGCACTGGACGAAAGTCGCTGTCGCTGCCCAGGCCGTTGCCCCGAACCTAAATGACTCAACCGCATTAAGAAATGCCAAACTGCATAGCCTGAAGGGCAAAACTGTATTTTGCCGGGCTTGGCTTGGCAAAGATCAGGCAAAATGACTTTGGGCCAATTGACACTTCATTTTGGTACTTCAGACTCTGTGCTTGCCGAGGATTCGGGGCCTTTGAACAGTATAACGGCTCCTACAGGCTCCTTCACGCCAGTTTGGCTGATTCTTGGCTTGAAAACCATAGAACCGACCATTTTTACATCAAAACACTGCTCATGCAGCTACTTCCACAAAAAACTGCTGCCGCCTGTTCAGCCGCCATAACCGAACCACCCCCGAACCACCCCCCAACCACCCCCGAACCACCCCCGAACCACCCCCGAACCAGCCCCGAACTATCCCCAAGCCACAAAACAATGCTGAATCATAGAAGACTACCGAATCACATAAAAAAACGTGGAAGTTTTACGAAACCTTAAGAAAACTACCGAACCAGCAAGAAAAGCTTCAAGCACCAAGGTTGAGGCCCCTAGGAGCCCAGGGGGCTGTCAGCTGCCATGACGCATCAGCTTTTTTGTGCCACGGTGCCAAAGGTGATAAAGAGATCAGACTGTGTTGCAGGGCTGCGGCTGCAGGCTAAAAGGCTACATGGGCTAGACTACTTGTCCCGCGGAGACTCCGAGTCCGATTCCTCAGGAACCGCTGGAGAGGTGGGGCTCAAGACTACCGTGGTGGGGCTCAAGACTTCCGGTTCAGCAACCACGTCGCCTTGTACAGCGGTGCTACCCGCAGCGGTGCTACCCGCAGTGCTGCCTGCATCCGGCACCAGCGATCTCACCGGCACAGCGGGGCTACCCGCAGCGGTGCTTCCCGCAACTTCCAGCAAACACCCGCCAGCCGCATCCTCCACCA